AAATTAAATTGGATTTTCTATAAAACGTTCTCTTTCTCTACTTTTTCTCTTTTTTCCTCCGTTTTTCTTTTTTTTTCATTTTTCCGCAATATTCGGCGTATAAAGCAAACGAATTTAGAAAAACTTAAACGACAATCTCGGGAAATCTAATTTCATTAAATTTCACAGCGATTTCCCAATTGTCGAACACGAATTATTAACTTGCTAGATTGAGCAAAGTAAAACGTGGCCAATTCAATTACTAGGGAAGAAAGAATCTGTTCGCGTCCATTGACCTCCAATGGAAAGTATCACCTGCGGTGTGTGTAATTGGAATTCGAACGAACCAATTCCGAAATTTATTGATTTCGCTGGAAAAAAGATTACCAGGTTAATTAAAATATTGAAAATAGTTGAATATTTTTACAGTGTGAAAAGAACCGTTTGTTACTTCTGATGAAAATATTTCCTTTACAGTGTTTTTTTCTTTTTTTTTTTTTTTTTTTTTGAAATCTTATTAGTCGATATCGAGCAACTACATTTTCTTTGAGCTTCCATTTAGACTTACATACAGGTGAGCAATTTTTCTGCGAAATAACATCAAGTACTGTTGATGTAATTTAGCAATCGGTTTACAACGACGATGCAAAGATAAGCCCTGTTTTCCAATCGGAAAATCCGCTGATAACCAACGGATTCGGCCAATTGAATTAATTCCAGTAACAAGAAGGCTGCTAACGATTATTACAAAGCTTTTGATTGGTTTCTCGACGCTGATGCCTGATCAGTATACAAGAACGGTGTATAAGAAATATCTTGTGTGAATGTACTCGTGGAATCTGCAAATTCATGCGGATTTAACCAGCTTGTAACAAACATCGATATTGATTAATCGATAACCTATATTTTTGATAGCCATAAATTAACTCAGGATTGTAAGAAGCAGAATTCACGGTATAAAAATTAGAATTAAAAAAATAGATTATTGGTATAGTATAATGCTTGGATACGAATGTCGTAAATACCGCATATAGTGAGTTTTAAAAAAGCAAACTTTAACATTAGAAATGACTTACCGTAGTGGTCAAAATGACGAATTTATAATTTTTGTTAAATATTTTATAAACGTAAGAAACATATATTTTTAACGATCTACATGATTTTTTTGTAAAATGTATAAATAAAAGTTTCTGTATTCCATTATAAAAAGTATTTCTATTTTATTTACTTTCGTGTCTCTGATGGAAATTTTATGCTTCAATCATGCATTTGTGCTTTAATTGAACTTTGTGCTTAGAATCTAATATTAATATCAGATGTGTTTTACTAACTGATTGCAATTTGTTTATAACAAAATTCCTTATTAATTTCATTATTTTCTTATGTCAGAATAATGATTTTAATATTATAATCGCACACGAGAAAATAAAACTAAGGAATACAATTTTTCAAAATCTTTGCGTTTATTTTCATTCGAAGAAAACCTTTCTGTAATAATTTCAATACACTATCAATTTAAAATTAATCAGAATTATATGTTATAAATTCATAATCAATTTCTG